TATGCCTAAAACAATGGTGGATTACAAGTGGGATTTAGGGACTTATTTTGTTGACAAGCAAGATATTCTGGATGCCATCAAAATGTATGCAGTAGAAAATGGAAGAAATCTAACATATGTTAAAAATGATAAGAAGAGAATTAGGGTCAAATGTATGGGTGGTAAAAAGGAAACTGCCCTTGGATGGCATACTGTGCTTATATGAATGCAGTACGAACATGGAAATTAAGGACTATTGTTGACAACCACAGTTGTAGTAGAGAGCACAAAGTCAAATTACTTAATTCAAAATGGCTGAGTAAGAGGTTGGAGAAAACTATGAGAGAAAATCCCAAAGTCAAAATGGCTAATTAAGGGAGTGGAAATTTGTGACAAGATAAGTAGAAAGTGGAATGTAGGTATATCTAGATCCATGGCTTATAGGGCAAAGGCCATTGCTTCAGACCATGTAGATGGGTCTTTCAAAGAGCAATATAAAAGGATATATGATTATGCGAATGAGCTCCTAACTCGTAATCCTGGATCCACAATGAAGGTGCAAGTGGAAGAGAATGTTGGTCGACATATTTTCAAGAGGTTATATGTTTGTCTAAAGGCCTGCAAGTACAGTTTTGTGTCCTGCAAGCCAATTATAGGGTTGGATGGTGTTTTTTTTAAAAGGTAAATATGGTGGGGAATTGCTAACTGCTGTTGGAAGAGACGCAAATGACCAGATGTTACCTCTAGCATATGCCATTGGTGAAAGTAGAGAATAAGGACATGTGGAAATGGTTTCTGGAACTTCTGGTTGAAGACGTTGATGGGGAGCCAGTACATGCATCCTTGACATTCATATCAGATAAACAAAAGGTTATTCACATGCCCTTTTTTCCTTAAAAACGTATGTTCATTTTCATTGTTATTGATATCAGACCTTTAACAACACTGACAATTTCAAATTACAGGGCTTAATGCAAGCTATTCAAAAAGTGGTCCCTGGAGTTGATCAAAGCTTTTGTGTTAGGCACCTTTACGCAAATTTCAGGAAAAAATTCCCTGGAAAGCAGCTAAAGCGGTTGATGTGGAAGGTAGCTATAACAACCCATCCACAAGCCTAGGAAACCGAAATGAAAAAATTAAAGGAAGTCAACATTGAGGCTTTCAAATACCTAATATAAATTCCTCCTAGGTATGTTCTTCAATAAATGTGTTTGTGATTCAATTCATACTTGTGCAAGTGCCAGAATGTGATAGTAATATTTCATAATCTCTTGCAATGTAGATACTGGTCACGATCAAGGTTTACACCACTTCTAAATGTGATACTTTGGTAAACAACATGTCAGAGGCATTCAACAGTGTTGTGGTACATACAAGGTCAAAGCCAATCATAACCATGTTGGAGGAGATCCGCCTTTACTTGATGAACAGATGGGCAACAAATCGAACAAAAAGTGAATCATTGTCTGGGTTGATTTGTCCTAAAATCAAGAGTAGAGTTAATAAGGAGTCCCAGCTAAGTAAATTTTGGATTCCTAGGTAAGCTTAATTTATTAACATTTATCATGTGTTCAACACTTAAACAAATGTGAAGGTTCTGAATATTAATTTTTTTTCTAGTTGGTTAGCACTGAAGTTGTTTGAAGTCCGTCATGTGTCCCAAGCTGGGGACAAGTTTGTAGTTGATATAGACAAATATGAATGCACATGCAGGAAATGGGCTATCTCGGGCATTCTATGTTGTCATGCGTTGGCTGCTATGAAGTTTCTGAATTTAGATGCAAAGGACTTCATCCCTGTTTGTTTTAGGAAGTCAACATATGAAGAAATGTACTCTTCCATTGTGTATCCAATTAATGGTGAGAACATGTGGCAGATTACCCCATATAATGATGTGTTCCCTCCAAAAAAGAGAATATTGCCAGGGAGGCCGAAGAAGAAAAGAAGGTTGCAGGAATGGGAGTTAGTCAGGGATGACACAAGAATGAGGAATGATTGTATACATAAAAGATGTGGCATTTGTAGGGAGCTGGGTCACAACAGAACTTCTTGCCAGAAATCAACCCAAGATCGTGATGTGAACCCTGACCAAACACAACAAAGCAACCCAGAAAATGAACCAAACATACCATCATCAAATGAGCCTGAAGCATAGGAAGGGAATTTTAATGTATATCTCAGTGCTGTAACCAATTCTGATGTTTACTTGTGACAATTTCAGCACATATTTTTTTTACCATTTAATGATGTAAACAATTCTGATGTTGAACCAAATATGATGTCACAATTTTAGCACATCTTTTTTTTACCTTTTAATGATGTAAACATTTCTGATGTTGAACCAATTTTGATGTTGACCCAATTCTGATGTCACAATTTCAGCACATATTTTTTTTAACCAATTCTGATGTTTATCTCAGTGTTGTAACCAATTCTGATGTTTATATTTGCTTTTATGGAATGTTATCTTTGCTTTTATGGAATGATTCATACCACTTAAGGTTTGATAAGGATAAAATATCAAGTTATATAAAACAGGACTGAGTACACTTAAGGTTTGATAAGTTATATGAAACAGAAGTATCAAGTTGAACATTGCAATGTTTTCTTCCTTACCTTAACAGATTATGTGCATTACTATACTAATTTTGTAACTCAATTCTATGTAAACCAATTCTTTATATTCAAGTCAAATTACAATCATCCCATGCTTACTGATGAACACATATCAGATTCTATAAGCACAAGTCCATTAATTATGAAACAACTCTTTATTTCATTCATTTCATTACAACAGAACCAATCTACAATAAAGTTACAAGAAATCATCCCTTCCTCATCAACATTGAAACTAAAATTATCACTATTACACATAAAACAGAAACCAACAACATGAACACCTTCATCCACTTTTGAACAATGAACACTCATTTTTGTAAATTCACTATCATTTTCCTAGTACTATCCATGTCTTCACTATTCACCAAAGTTTCTTTGTTTCCTTCACTGTTGAAGTAGTTACCCCTTTCGTCAAACCCAATATCATTGCACCATTTGACAAAGTTGCAACCACCGTCTTCACCACCGTTCTGTAAAGACAACATTCAACTTAATTAGGGAGTACCACTGTCTTCACCACCATTTAACAATGTCGTGTTCTCAAAAACAGTACCACAACTTAATTAGGTTGAATCTAACATACCTTATACTTGGAGCATCCCTAAAATTGCTTGCCCCGATTCTTCATAGTTTTGGCAGTTCTCACCACAGATCTCTCTGACCACAGTAGCAGATCGGTGAAGACGTACCATTTTCCTTCCGCCTGGCACTGCAACTCGATGAATAGCAAGAGTGCTCCTTCAACATTGTCTTCGAACAAGAACAAGCACAAGCTCGAACACCACTACACCCACCCGCGTCGTAGAACTACAAGGTCGACCTCCTAACACACCCTTTTAATTTAGGGATTTTGACCTTCAAATTGAGGATTAAATAAATCCAACTTCTTACGAATGCTTTAAAATGATATAAAATCCACGTATTAAGCTCAAATTGTGCCACCTGGAAATAAAAGGATGCCTCAACATCCCACCTGTATAAAAAGTTAACGCCGTCCATTGCATTTAACAGAAAGGGTATTATTGACTCAATTTTTTCAAATTAGGGACCCAATTAAGCACTTCCAAAATAGTAGGACCCAATTGATACAAATCCGCAGAAATAGGGACCTCTGAATACATTAAACCAAAATCTTTCTTATTTATGGCATAATATATTAAAGCATACATTAGTTATTTACCTTATTTACTCATTTATATCCCAGCAGCTCATTGGTTTATAAAAGAGGAAAACAAAAGTTTTCAAAAAATCAATATTCATTGAAAAGCTAAATAACCTAATGCGTTGTCAATAATTATTTTGCAAATATACAAATATCAAGCAACAACTACTGAGTTGGAATGATGTCTTCTTATACAATTCAAATAGATGATTAATATTCTCAGGTACAATACTCTAAATAAAATTTTTCATGTCCCTANTGAGTGTCAAGAGGAAGGTGATGGTGAGTGTGAACAAGGTCACGGTGAGTGTCAAGAGGAAGGTGATGGTGAGTGTGAACAAGGTCATGGTGAGTGTCAAGAGGAAGGTGATGGTGAGTGTGAACAAGGTGATGGTGAGTGTCAAGAGGAAGGTAATGGTGAGTGTGAACAAAGATGTGAGGGAGATGATGTTGTAGAAGGTCAAATTGAAGTTGAATGTGATGTGGGTCAGTTTGAAGGAGATGATGTTGATGTTCGTGGCTGGAGTTCTAGTGGTGAGGATGCCAATGTTGATTACAATGTGGATGTTAATTATGACTGTATGGAAGACCTAGTTGACTGTGATATACAAGAAGAGGTAGGACATGGAGTTGGGAATTGGTTTGGTGAAATCGAAGTTGATGTGCAAGATGATGGACCATCATGGACTCACATGTCCGATAGTGATGTTGATGATGGTATAAATATTGACAATGATAGAGGTTTGTCCAGTGATAATTGGGAATCAGAAGAATTGCTTAGTGGAGGAGAAAGTCATGGAGAAGATGATGAAGAAGACAGATATGGAAAGTTTGTAACATTTAGTATGCCTAAAACAATGGTGGATTACAAGTGGGATTTGGGGACTTATTTTGGTGACAAGCAAGATATTCTGGATGCCATCAAAATGTATGCAGTAGAAAATGGAAGAAATCTAACATATGTTAAAAATGATAAGAAGAGAATTAGGGTCAAATGTATGGGTGGTAAAAAGGAAACTGCCCTTGGATGGCATACTGTGCTTATATGAATGCAGTACGAACATGGAAATTAAGGACTATTGTTGACAACCACAGTTGTAGTAGAGAGCACAAAGTCAAATTACTTAATTCAAAATGGCTGAGTAAAAGGTTGGAGAAAACTGTGAGAGAAATCCAAAGTCAAGGAGTGGAAATTCGTGACAAGATAAGTAGAAAGTGGAATGTAGGTGTATCTAGATCCATGGCTTATAGGGCAAAGGCCATTGCTTCAGACCATGTAGATGGGTCTTTCAAAGAGCAATATAAAAGGATATATGATTATGCGAATGAGCTCCTAACTCGTAATCCTGGATCCACAATGAAGGTGCAAGTGGAAGAGAATGTTGGTCGACATATTTTCAAGAGGTTATATGTTTGTCTAAAGGCCTGCAAGTACAGTTTTGTGTCCTGCAAGCCAATTATAGGGTTGGATGGTGTTTTTTTTAAAAGGTAAATATGGTGGGGAATTGCTAACTGCTGTTGGAAGAGACGCAAATGACCAGATGTTACCTCTAGCATATGCCATTGGTGAAAGTAGAGAATAAGGACATGTGGAAATGGTTTCTGGAACTTCTGGTTGAAGACGTTGATGGGGAGCCAGTACATGCATCCTTGACATTCATATCAGATAAACAAAAGGTTATTCACATGCCCTTTTTTCCTTAAAAACGTATGTTCATTTTCATTGTTATTGATATCAGACCTTTAACAACACTGACAATTTCAAATTACAGGGCTTAATGCAAGCTATTCAAAAAGTGGTCCCTGGAGTTGATCAAAGCTTTTGTGTTAGGCACCTTTACGCAAATTTCAGGAAAAAATTCCCTGGAAAGCAGCTAAAGCGGTTGATGTGGAAGGTAGCTATAACAACCCATCCACAAGCCTAGGAAACCGAAATGAAAAAATTAAAGGAAGTCAACATTGAGGCTTTCAAATACCTAATAAAAATTCCTCCTAGGTATGTTCTTCAATAAATGTGTTTGTGATTCAATTCATACTTGTGCAAGTGCCAGAATGTGATAGTAATATTTCATAATCTCTTGCAATGTAGATACTGGTCACGATCAAGGTTTACACCACTTCTAAATGTGATACTTTGGTAAACAACATGTCAGAGGCATTCAACAGTGTTGTGGTACATACAAGGTCAAAGCCAATCATAACCATGTTGGAGGAGATCCGCCTTTACTTGATGAACAGATGGGCAACAAATCGAACAAAAAGTGAATCATTGTCTGGGTTGATTTGTCCTAAAATCAAGAGTAGAGTTAATAAGGAGTCCCAGCTAAGTAAATTTTGGATTCCTAGGTAAGCTTAATTTATTAACATTTATCATGTGTTCAACACTTAAACAAATGTGAAGGTTCTGAATATTAATTTTTTTTCTAGTTGGTTAGCACTGAAGTTGTTTGAAGTCCGTCATGTGTCCCAAGCTGGGGACAAGTTTGTAGTTGATATAGACAAATATGAATGCACATGCAGGAAATGGGCTATCTCGGGCATTCTATGTTGTCATGCGTTGGCTGCTATGAAGTTTCTGAATTTAGATGCAAAGGACTTCATCCCTGTTTGTTTTAGGAAGTCAACATATGAAGAAATGTACTCTTCCATTGTGTATCCAATTAATGGTGAGAACATGTGGCAGATTACCCCATATAATGATGTGTTCCCTCCAAAAAAGAGAATATTGCCAGGGAGGCCGAAGAAGAAAAGAAGGTTGCAGGAATGGGAGTTAGTCAGGGATGACACAAGAATGAGGAATGATTGTATACATAAAAGATGTGGCATTTGTAGGGAGCTGGGTCACAACAGAACTTCTTGCCAGAAATCAACCCAAGATCGTGATGTGAACCCTGACCAAACACAACAAAGCAACCCAGAAAATGAACCAAACATACCATCATCAAATGAGCCTGAAGCATAGGAAGGGAATTTTAATGTATATCTCAGTGCTGTAACCAATTCTGATGTTTACTTGTGACAATTTCAGCACATATTTTTTTTACCATTTAATGATGTAAACAATTCTGATGTTGAACCAAATATGATGTCACAATTTTAGCACATCTTTTTTTTACCTTTTAATGATGTAAACATTTCTGATGTTGAACCAATTTTGATGTTGACCCAATTCTGATGTCACAATTTCAGCACATATTTTTTTTAACCAATTCTGATGTTTATCTCAGTGTTGTAACCAATTCTGATGTTTATATTTGCTTTTATGGAATGTTATCTTTGCTTTTATGGAATGATTCATACCACTTAAGGTTTGATAAGGATAAAATATCAAGTTATATAAAACAGGACTGAGTACACTTAAGGTTTGATAAGTTATATGAAACAGAAGTATCAAGTTGAACATTGCAATGTTTTCTTCCTTACCTTAACAGATTATGTGCATTACTATACTAATTTTGTAACTCAATTCTATGTAAACCAATTCTTTATATTCAAGTCAAATTACAATCATCCCATGCTTACTGATGAACACATATCAGATTCTATAAGCACAAGTCCATTAATTATGAAACAACTCTTTATTTCATTCATTTCATTACAACAGAACCAATCTACAATAAAGTTACAAGAAATCATCCCTTCCTCATCAACATTGAAACTAAAATTATCACTATTACACATAAAACAGAAACCAACAACATGAACACCTTCATCCACTTTTGAACAATGAACACTCATTTTTGTAAATTCACTATCATTTTCCTAGTACTATCCATGTCTTCACTATTCACCAAAGTTTCTTTGTTTCCTTCACTGTTGAAGTAGTTACCCCTTTCGTCAAACCCAATATCATTGCACCATTTGACAAAGTTGCAACCACCGTCTTCACCACCGTTCTGTAAAGACAACATTCAACTTAATTAGGGAGTACCACTGTCTTCACCACCATTTAACAATGTCGTGTTCTCAAAAACAGTACCACAACTTAATTAGGTTGAATCTAACATACCTTATACTTGGAGCATCCCTAAAATTGCTTGCCCCGATTCTTCATAGTTTTGGCAGTTCTCACCACAGATCTCTCTGACCACAGTAGCAGATCGGTGAAGACGTACCATTTTCCTTCCGCCTGGCACTGCAACTCGATGAATAGCAAGAGTGCTCCTTCAACATTGTCTTCGAACAAGAACAAGCACAAGCTCGAACACCACTACACCCACCCGCGTCGTAGAACTACAAGGTCGACCTCCTAACACACCCTTTTAATTTAGGGATTTTGACCTTCAAATTGAGGATTAAATAAATCCAACTTCTTACGAATGCTTTAAAATGATATAAAATCCACGTATTAAGCTCAAATTGTGCCACCTGGAAATAAAAGGATGCCTCAACATCCCATCTGTATAAAAAGTTAACGCCGTCCATTGCATTTAACAGAAAGGGTATTATTGACTCAATTTTTTCAAATTAGGGACCCAATTAAGCACTTCCAAAATAGTAGGACCCAATTGATACAAATCCGCAGAAATAGGGACCTCTGAATACATTAAACCAAAATCTTTCTTATTTATGGCATAATATATTAAAGCATACATTAGTTATTTACCTTATTTACTCATTTATATCCCAGCAGCTCATTGGTTTATAAAAGAGGAAAACAAAAGTTTTCAAAAAATCAATATTCATTGAAAAGCTAAATAACCTAATGCGTTGTCAATAATTATTTTGCAAATATACAAATATCAAGCAACAACTACTGAGTTGGAATGATGTCTTCTTATACAATTCAAATAGATGATTAATATTCTCAGGTACAATACTCTAAATAAAATTTTTCATGTCCCTAAAGTTTATAAATCTATAAATATATTAAAAAGGTGAAGTATATGATAATTTTCTAACAGAAGAAACA